GGAACGTGCCCTGCTGGTTGGTAGTAACTGTCTCCATCCATGCCGACCTCCATACTCCTCTCCCTGCCCTCAGCACACTACTGCCCTTGTGGAGAGTTTCCGGAGGCGCTTCCCACAGGAAAGATCATCCTGGTCACCTCCAGGACCTCTGCCAGCCCCACTGCCACTTACTGTGCCATCTCAAACTCCCTGCTTAGGGCTCTGGTCTCCCTCCCTTACCTCGCCCCTTCCCCAGTGCCTCGCACCCTGCCCTCTCTTCTCTCAGCCCGGTGACCCCCATTCTACCTGAGGCCAGTTGGGAGCTGGTGGTTCCAGCAGCCCCTGTGAGTCCCCCCATTGCTGGGATCGCATCTGCTTCCTGCCCTCCCGCTACATGAAGGCCTCCACCCTGTGGCCAGTGAACTTCGTTAAAACCCAACCACAGAAGATGTCGGGGATGGAGGGGCATTAGAGGATGAGTTAGCCACGCCTCTGGTCCCAGGTACTCAGGACGCTAAGGCAGGAGAATCACACATGGTGAGACCCCATTTTAAAGCACACACACACACACACACACACACACACACACACACAGAGGATACGTTAGCTTTAAATCAATTCAGACCAGAGACTTTACTCTCCATTCTAATTCGTTTATTCACTCATGCAGTGAGTATTTGTTGAGCCCCTACTATGTGCCAGGCAATGTCTAAGCTCTGGAAATACAGTAGTGGAAAAGAACAAATGAAATCCCCTATCCTGGTGAGGTTCTAGCTTACATTCTAGGGTAGTCTCTGCATTGCTGAATCTGGCTGTGCTGTAGACCTGGCTTCACTCTCAGCTAGAGACCTATCCTGCATTTCTCCTTCATCCACAGACAGTGCGGGGGTCAGAGCCACACAGCCTAGTGCACATTCCAGCCCCACCACTGACCTGGGCAAGGCCCATTTCCTCATCTATACAACAGGGGCAGTAGTGCCTAAGTTAGGGTGTAACGATTCGGTGAGCCGAGTGATTCCAAGTGTGTGGATCGGACTTGTCCTAGTAAGTGCTCAAACGGCTATTCAGTATTGACGTTTCTTTGAAATATGAATTATGCCATGCCCACCCACCTCAGAAAGTAGCTGGAAAGGCTACTTTCATAATAGTTTTCCTCTGGGATCATCTGGTAGTGTGGTGGTTAAGGCTCTAGGCTCCCACATGGTTGGCCATGGTTCGATTCCCAGACCTGGCAGCTTGCTTTCCCTCTCTTCATCTCTCTGGTCAAATTGAATAATAATAATAAATAAAATTAAATGAATAATTCTTTATATATTTCTTTATATAGATAGATAGATAGTTCTGTGTTTTCTTTTTCTTTTTTTGAGAGTTTCGCTATACCTTGCCAGAAAGAAAGAGACAGAGAGACAGAAAGTGATAAATCACTCCCCGGGGTGCTGGCCACAATCCTTTCTCCTCCGTTCTCCTCTTGGGATTTTGGGTGGCATGGTGGTTGAGACTCTGGGCTCCCACATGGCTGGCCATAGTTTGAGTCCAGGATCTGGTGGCTTGCTTTCTCACTTTCTCCCTTTCTCTCTTTCTCTGGTGAGTGCACATGCCCTATAGCAATTTAAAAAATAATAATACATTTTTTTGGAGAGAGAGATTTTTACAATAGGGCATATGTACTCACTGGAGAGACGGTGACAGAAAGCGAGAAATCACCCCTTGGGGGGCGGCCATGCTGAAATCCCTTGTCCATTCTCCTCTTGGGATTTTGGTCACACATGCACATACGCTAGACATGAATTTTAAGCTGCTGGGTCCGAGACTCAAATCACATTTGACTACGTGAGAGTCCAGGGACCTAACCCTTATGCCATCTGCTGGTCCCATAGACAATTCTTTAAAAATAAATTTAAAAAAATAGTTATTTATTCAATTCTATTCATTCATTTATTTTAAATTTGACAGAGAGAGAAAGAGGGGAAGTGAGAAAACAAGCCACCAGGTCCCGGACTCGAACCATGGACAGCCATGTGAGTGTCCAGCACCTTAACCACCATGCCACCTGCTGGTCCCCAAAAAATAAATTTAAAAAAAGTTTTTTCTCCATACCATCTAGTACCCTGGACATGTAGAGATTAGTCCTGTTTCACCTTCCAGCTGGAGAGAGCAGGGGAGCTTTCGTGGAATGAAAGGATCGCTGAAGCCAGGGATGGTAAGGGAGGTTCTGCTTGTGATCCAGCAGGCACCCTGGTCCAGGGAAGAATGTTCAGGCTGCATCGTGCAGAGCAGGAGAGATCTGTGACCCTAAAGCGATGGTGCCCGCAGGAGTTGGGGACAGGGCCGGGAGTAGCTGGGTGGGTGCCCATAGCTGCCATCCTTAGATGGTTGGCTTCCCCCATCGCAGCCCTTAGAGGGGGAGGCCCCACCTCAGCCCTGCCTGCCCGTGTCCGAAGGTGGGCAGCATGTCTCAAAGCACTGGGCGTGCTCTCCTGGCAGGATTGGTGTCGCCAGCAAAGAGACCTGCCAAGTGGGACAAGTGGGAAGCCTTCGACTCCCCAGAACCCAGGTTGTGCGGACAGTGGGGGCCTGGTGTGATGGGGTGAGGACGGGACAGTGGCTTATCTGAAGTCTGGGCAAAGGCAGTGTCACTCACTTCGCTGGAGGGCTGTGTCAGAGTGGCTGGACAGGTTTTAGGGCACTGTTTTCTCAGCTGGTGGGAAGGGGTGGGAGTACGCACAGGCCTCCTTCCTGTGGCCTGCGTGGGGAAAGGGGGTGGGATAATAATGCTTAGGACCCAGATGGGCCTGGGTACCAGCCCCATCTTCATTGCATTTAGGGCTGCGACCTCGACCTCGACCTCGACCTCAGCTATGTCCTTAACCTAAGCCCCAGATCCTCATTTGCCAACTGGGAAGAATGACAGTATCTTCCCAGCAGGATCCTGTCCTCATTAACTGAGCGAAATGCACATAACATGCTTACTGCAACACTTGGCACCAGGAAGCCCTCTATAAATCACGGCTGCCTTCCGAGGAGGGTGCAGAGGCAGGGAACTCTGTTCCATCTCCAAACAAGAGCTGGCCCAGGCTGCGTGCAGCTCCCCTTCTCCCATCACTCCCAGGCTTATATGGAAAATGAAAATATTGTCTTGTGTGAATTTGGGAGCCAAGTTAAAGAATCTCTGAGTGAACAGGGGCCGCCTCCTCCCGCGAAAGCTGTTTCCCTAACCCCGAGGACAGGACGCCTTGTCTAACAACGTGTTTGCCTGGCTCCCCCAGGTCCCTCCCCCTAACCCAGCGATGGCCTCGGCCCTGGGTCAGTTCCTCTGTTCTGGGAGACTGGTTAAGGCCTCTTCCTCATCCCGTAAGATCCCACCCATGATCAGTGAGGCATCCCAACCAGAGCCACGACTGCATGAGGTGGGTACAGGGATCTGGCAGGCTGAGTTCCCATCTAGACCTCAGCTCCCTGAGTCCCGCTCTCCCTTGTCAAACGGTGTCTGGCAGAATCACAAGAAGAGCCAGTTCGGTAATTAGGTGGAAAAGTCCCAGTGAGGGGTGTCCCATACACAACAGCACAGCTACTTCTCCAGCCCCTAGTGCCCGGCAGAGCCAAGCTGACTTCCAAGCCAGTTGCGTAGGAACCTTGGGCAGAGGAGGCAACAGCAAGGGGTACTGGGGAGCATAGCGTTGGGGTAGGGGAGGTGCAGAGCAGCCAAGGGGAGAAGCAGTGGGTGTTGACCAGGAGCGTTGAAGCAGCCAAGGGCAGACTGGAAACCAGGCAGCCTGCAGCCTAGCCCAGTTCAGCCATACCCTCTCCTCCCCAGTGGGCACAGCTACTGCCACTGGGTTTTTGCAGGGCGTAGTGGGGAGCTCAGGCCCTTGGAATACTTCCTTTGCTTGCCCTTCACTGGGCGATCTCGATGTCAGCGGAGATCACGGGGAACACATGCTGTCACTCCTTGGTAACCCGGAGGGCAAGGCTACGAGCCATTACCAGAGGGCAAAGCACAGTGGGGAAGGGAAAGGCAGGAAGCCCGGCTTTCTCACCACGCCATCTCCCCACCTTAGCGCCCCTTTTGTCCTGTTCTTCATCTCGTGTTTGATGTCTCCTAAGCACTTCATAATTTCCAGATCGTAGGTCACCCAGGGAGAGCCGTGTGGCATTGTGGGTGGGAGCTGTCTGGAGAAGAGCAAGGCATTTAGCATGTGTGGTCCCTGCCAGCCTAGTGCTAGCAGGCAGCATTCCCCACCATCACTGGAATAAACCGGGTTGGGGGGTATTCCACCCACTCTGCTGTATCCCCAGTGCCTGGCACATACACCGCTCCCCCTCAAGCCACAGTTCCAAATGCTTCTAGAAGACACTCCCAACCCCACTCGAAGGTATGCCTGAAATACAGGCATACCTTCGACAGCAGCCCCGATAGACAGTGGCTACTCCCAGTCTACGTACTTTTCATTATCAGGTTGATAACTTCAAGGGACAGTCCATTCTAAGATTGTTCATTATTCAAAAAAGTCACCCCATCCCCTCGTGCACCTTGACCCGTTACTTAATATATCGTGCGAAGTCCAGTGGAACTAGCTGGGTGTTCACACCCAGAATGCAGCAGGTGTCCTGTGTGTGGCCTGACCCTGCAGAGAACAATCACCGTCCAGCCCTGGGGAGATCTGGGTTGACCCGCCTGAGATTGTATTTACTTTTCTTTTGGCAGCCATTCAAGTGTGTGTGGTTCAGTCGGCTAAAATCCAGGACTTGCCCCCTTCAATCCTATACCCGTCTTTTCCAAACCAAAGGGTAAGACTTGAACTGACCCTGCAGAGAACAATCACCGTCCAGCCCTGGGGAGATCTGGGTTGACCCGCCTGAGATTGTATTTACTTTTCTTTTGGCAGCCATTCAAGTGTGTGTGGTTCACAGTCGGCTAAAATCCAGGACTTGCCCCCTTCAATCCTATACCCGTCTTTTCCAAACCAAAGGGTAAGACTTGAACAATGTTAAAAGACACTCCTATCTTATTAGTTTGGGCCCATATTTCCAGGCTAGATGATTTTTGATTCGCAATACTGCCATTGGTGTAGATAGAACTTTTTTTTAGTTGCCAGAGGGCACATTTGCACACCAAAGACAGAGAGAGCGAGAACAACCCCTTCTCCACTTCTCCGTCCTGATGGGCTGTGAGGCAAGTCCTCACGTGTGCCTGTGTGGGATGTGTTAGAGCTTCCCACCCCATCTGCATCCCTAGTTTTGAGTCCTCTACTCACTGGATTGATAGGCCACAGTGTCCTCACTGTGCTGTTGACTGGACTATGGAAAAGGCCAAAGAGACCTCAGTCCAGGCTGATAATGATCAATACTTCTTGGGGTGGGTTGTTTGCCTTTGAATGTACCCACTTAACCCCAGCTCCACCCACATTTCTGTGTCTTGTCCACATGAATGTCTTTAAGCCCATCTGTTAGCTGCCTTGCTGAAATCTAGATTTGCTGCATTCCACAGAACTTCAAGGCTTTGCAACCCCTTTGGAGAAGGAGATGCACTTAGCTGAGCGTGACTTGTTCTCAGTGAATCTGTACTCGTTCGAGTGTCCGCCAGTCTCCTCTCCCCCTTACAAGGTTTCAAGAAGAGTTCAGGTGTGATTTCCACGTCTTTCCTTTTCATGAAAAGGACAGCTTGTCTTCTGACATCTTTCCTGTCCCCAGTGATTCCACGGGGATGACCCAAACGAGTGCCTCAGTGTCATCCCGGGTACTTCGGTTCCGGTTTAGGTGCTCTCGGGTGCTCTTTCCGGCTGCCCAGTTTAAGGTCGATGTCTGAGATAACAGGTGGAGGCCGAAAGGGAGCTGAGGGGTTCTGCTTTCTCTGCCATCTGTTTAACATTACTAGACAGGGTCCGGTAACTTCCTCATTCTCTTGCTCCAAACATAGGTTTCGCTTTTTCAAACACTCCTTGGATGTCCTCAGTATTTGTTTTAGCTCTCCTGTTGGCTTGTTAGGAGAACCTAAGCATCCTCTGGTTATTTCATGTTTAAGCGGCCTAACCACTAGACAGTGAGTTCTCTGAGGGCAGGGGCCACCTTGGCCACGTTCATTGCAGCCATCCCCACCTCCCACTCGGATGCTGTGCAGCCTTCATGGCCTTCAGAGACACTCTGGCAATTCCGCAGGGGTGTGGGGGGCCCGAGTGGTGTGGTTCGTTGGTTTGTCAGACAAGCATGTCATCATGGAAAATTCTTGATGGAGTGTGCAGATCCATTTCCACGGGCCTGGTGCTGCTGCACGCAGCTCATTCCTTCAGAACAACCCACCCCCTCCTTCCCCTTTCCCACCAAACCTCAGGCATGCCTTGGTGGGTTAGAAGTAGGTTTCCCACCCCCTGCTTCCATCCCTCACTCTGGTCACTTCTCCCTCTGTTCCTGGCTTGATCTTTATAGGAATTTAACTGAGTCCTGCCCTCTGATCTGGGTGGCCCATCCTGGGGTCCCTAGGAACAGGCCATGAACCCTAGACGTAGAGCCCTTTTTTAAGCACTTTAGGGCCCAGGCTGTGCCAGCTGGTAGAGCCCCATCAGTGGGTTGGGGTCAAAACTGTGGACAGAGCTGAAGGATGGAGAGACAGGGTCTAGTGGTTTGGAAACAGGTTTGGCAACTGTCAGAACTTCTGCAGCAGATAAGACCTGTCTCCCGAGGCCTCCCAGTGAACTTCCCCGGGTGGCCTTTTCCCAGGTGCTCATGGTTGCTGGAAGCTCTGGGACTAGTAGTCACCCTGGTATGTACTCACCACGTCCTGATCTGTCCCTGCTGAGGCAGTTGCTCAGCGCAGGGCACAGAGCTAAAGGGTTCCAGAGAAAGGAGGGAAGGGAGGAGCCTGCAGGGGGAGGGTGGCTCCCTACAGGGCTTGGAGAAGAGCGGGCCAAATGGTTTGCATGCCCTCGGAGCATAAATCCAGAGGGCACTGAGCTGACATTAGCAAATATTTTACAGTGGGCTAAAGAGTGTCTAGCCCTGGGACCAGCAGGTAGTGGAATGGTTACATTGCTGGACTCCCACATAGTCAATTGTGGTTCGAGCCCTGGAACCGGTGGCTTGAAATTCATGCTGGCTGCATGTGCATGCCTAAGATCCCGAGAGGAGAAGGGATTGTTAAACACATCAGTGGTGGCTTTAGATTCTTATAGGGGCCTGAACCCTACTATGAACTGCATGTGCCAAGGGATCGAGATTGAGTGCTCTCCTAAACCACCCCCCACCCCATCCATGGAAAAATTGTCTTTTACAAAACCAGTCCCTGGTGCTAAAAAGGTTGGGGACCATTGATCTATGAAACAGAGGAGCTAACTGGCGCCTTGTTGTGCTGATTAAATGAGAAGACTTCTAAGGAGTCTAATGCAGAGCTGTCGATCGGAAAAAGCATCTGGCCTCAGCTCTGGCCTTCATTCTCTCTCTCAGGTAGTATCGGATGCTGCAGATCAGGGCGTGGCCATCACGGGGAACCAGACCTTCAACAACTGGAACTGGCCCAATGCAATGATTTTTGCAGCCACAGTCATCACCACCATTGGTAAGTCCTCTGGGACCTTCAGGACAGCCACGTTGTGCCCCACGCCTCAGAACCTCAGAGGAATCGGCCTTGGATACTCAGCCTGGTCAGGAGTGCAATCAGGCCAGTTAGGGTCTGTCTCTTTCCCACTTTCCCGCGAGTTGATTACATCCTTGGCCATGCCTGGGAGGCTATCCCTGTGAGTCCTGACCTGGGTTTTTTAAGCAGAGAGGACAACATAGTCTGATAGCCAGAGCCATGTAGCGGTGGAACAGGTTGTCACTGCACAAACCCAGGTGGTGCTTACTCACCTAGTGGGTGTCTCTTCTGGTTCTCTGGCTGCATGACCAACCGCCAGAGGTGTTTGTGGCTTGAAACACAAGTTAGTGTCTTCGCCGTTCTGTGGGTTGGCTGGGTTCAGCTGGGCCCTCCGGTGTGGAGGCAGTCATTGATGGCTATGGTGTCACCTCAAAGCTCAACCCGCCTGATGTCCAAGGTGGTCTCTGGCACACATCGGACAGTCGATGCCAGCTGTCAGCGGGGTGCTCTGCGGGGGATGAGAACATGGGTCTCCACGTGTGGGCTCGGGCATCTCATAGAATGGTAGCTGGACTCTAAGAGGGAGAATTCCAAAGTGAGCATTTCAAGAGAAATGCTCAGACCACATCTATGGCCCAGCCAGTCTCCAAGGCCCAGATTCAACAGAGGAAAACGGGACTCACATCCTTAACGTGAGCAGTTGCATAAGAAGGTAGGAAGTTGAGAATGGCCATCTCCGGAGACCATTTACCACAGTGCCTCTGGGGAGTCCTCCCAGAGGGCATCTTTTTCTAATTGGCACAGTGGAGCCTTAGAGAATAATGTAAGACCTGCAGATGGCCGTGGTTCAGTCCCTGTCTTTGGTAAGATGCCGGAAGCATCCATCCCCTTGTTAGAGTGTGATCAAGGGAGGGAAATGTCATTACTTAAGTGTTGATATCACATCAGTCTCCATTGATCCTGAAGAATGGGCCTTCCTAGAGCTGGTTTTATGTGTGCATGTGTGGGTGAGGGGAGACTTCTCAACCTCACTCTTTTTCCTCAGGCTATGGCAATGTGGCTCCCAAGACCCCTGCTGGCCGCCTCTTCTGTGTCTTCTATGGTCTCTTTGGGGTGCCGCTCTGTCTGACCTGGATCAGTGCCCTGGGCAAGTTCTTCGGGGGACGTGCCAAGAGGCTGGGCCAGTTCCTCACCAAGAGAGGCGTGAGCCTGGTATGTCCCCAACCCTGAGTGCTGGGCAGAGATGGGGCAGCGTGGCTGGTGAGGGAAGGCAGGGAAGACAGGAAAGGCTCTAGTCTAGGAACTGGACAGGGCTGGTGTTGGGATAGATGGCAAGACCGGGTTAGGTTGGGAGCATCCCACCTTCCCTTTCCCAGGTGATAAGCCTCCCAGGCTTGGTGCTCAGCTGGCCTCTCCTCAGGCCTCCTCCCCAGCCTTCTGGGTGCCCCTGCCAGGTTTCTTGAGTCTCTGCCATCTTCTGACTTGGTCTCCTGCCACTCCATCAGCGGAAGGCGCAGATCACATGCACGGCCATCTTCATCGTGTGGGGCGTCCTGGTCCACCTGGTGATCCCACCCTTTGTGTTCATGGTGACCGAGGAGTGGGACTACATCGAGGGCCTCTACTACTCCTTCATCACCATCTCCACCATCGGCTTCGGTGACTTCGTGGCTGGTGAGCCCCACCCCTGCCCCCTTGCCTCTGCTCCCCTGCTCCCCTGCTCCGCACCTCCTCCAGTTCAGTTTAGTGTGGGCCCCCCGGTGGGCAGTTAGTGTTCTGGTTCCCCTCCACTCCCCTGCCTGTGTAGGAGGAAGCCAAGGCACAGAGTGACTGCAGAAGGCCCTCCGTGCTCTAGTTCCCTGTCCTGGCCACATCTCTTCCCGCCTCCTCCCCTCTCTTCACCTTCAGTCTCTGATCTGATCCACCTCTCTCTGTTCTCTGGACTCCTGAGCTTGTGTTCACTTGGAGCCAGGAGGAGGGCCTTCTTCTTGCAGGGCTTGTCCCTGTTACCCAGAGAGCCCCTGAGCTGAGCCAGGCCTGCTCGGGCACGGAGCAGCCCTCACCATGCTCAGTGCTGAGGGAGCCATCCCAGAGCTTGGCTCAGAGACCCGAAACGCTCCCCTGCCACGGGCAGCTTGCAGACAAGGGAGGCCTTCTCCCAAATGGCCCTGCCCCCTCAGCCCCGACACTCCCTCCTACTCCTCCCCAACTTAATCCAGGCAGGCCAGGGAGAAGATAAGATTCTTTAGTCCCTTTGTCTGAAGGCCTGCCACCAGCCAGCCAATGGTGCACTGTGTCTGCCCTACACAGCCTCTTGGTGCTTAATCTTCTTGACACCCTGTTTGTTCCCTCAGTGCTGCTGCCCTGCCCGGGTGACCTCTCCCTCTGCTCCGGGGGCTGCAGGTCTCTGCCCACCTCCTCTCCTCAACCAGCTCCTTGCCTAGAGGGTAGGGAGAGGTCACTATTTTTCTGCCCCATTATAAGTGGAATGCTGGTGGGGGGCGGCCGAGTGGGCAGGAGAAGCAGGAAAGAGGCTGGAGCATGCCACTGACCATGGTGAATCTGGGCCTGTTGTCTTGGGAGGTAAATGTGGTCGGAAGCACAAGTCTGCCATTGTCTAGCTGGGCCCCAGAGCAGGCCAAGGAGAAGCATTTGTGCTAGAGAAGTACAGCAATGAATTTAACTGTAGTTTCCCAGCTCTGGCGAGACACCAGGCCTCTGCCTCAGTTTTCACATCTGTAAAAGTGGTACAGATACCAGCACTTCCCACACAGGATGGTGGAAAATGAAATGTCGATATTTGTGAGTTCTGAGGGTGGGGCCTGGCTATGTTAGTGTGCGTCCCCATCATCGTACTCAGCTTATGGTCCAGAGCCCCAAGCAAGGTTGATCTGGGGGCAGACAACATAGATCAACCTGCCTGAGTGTAAAGTCATAAAAGAAATTTCAGATAATCCTGGAGTATAAAAAAACCACCAGAGCCTGGGTTGGAGGAGGTAACCTAGGAAGGCTTCCTGGTGGGGAGTGGCATATAGAGTAGGCAGAGCCCTCCAGGCCAAGGCAAGAGCCAATCTGAGGAAGAAAAACAGGAAGTCAGGGAGGCAGACCTTCTAGGAGAATAAAGGAGTCAGGCTACTTCCTGGCAGGGTCAGTGCCCTTAGGGCCTTCTCAACCCTCTGACCTTCAGCCTCAGTGTATAAACCAGTGAGTCCATTGTCATCTCTGAGGCTGCCAACAGGCGCCCTTCTCATGATTCCCATGCTATTTTATTTTGCTTTATTTTTCCTTCTGTGAGCAAGAGAGACAGGCAAAGAGCGAGCACCTCAATGGGGTTCTGGTGCCGCAATCCACCCCCAGCTCCAGCCAGCCCTGCGTCGTGGGCACACATGTTCAAAGAGGTCTCCAGAGGGGAACCCAGAACTTTACCATGCGGGTCTATCACATCCAGCAACACATTTTACCCCTCGTGCCACGGTCTGGCCCCTCCGGCCTGTTTGGAGCACTGCGTGACATACATGTCTAACAGCTGGTGCAGTAGAACTGCCTGCAAGGCGGTCACTCCAGCAACTTCCTGACCTGCATATTGGTTGCATTACCAGTCCCCCAGACACCCCTTTAGGTACCCTCACCCCAAAGGTAACCACTGTCCTTCGTAGCAGATGAAACTGAGGCCTAGAAACAGGCTCGCGAGTCTGCTGAGTACACGCGCGTTGGGGCCACCGTCCTTCGGGAAGCTGGGCCAAGGACTAGACAGGCCCCTTCCTTTCACACCGCGCTCCCCTCCCGTGTTCTGGCGTGGGGCCTGCTCCACAGCCTCGGCCGTTTCATGTTTCCGGGTCCCTGCTGACCCCGCCTGACGTCCTGGGCTTCCTGTCCTAGGTGTGAACCCCAGTGCCAACTACCACGCCCTGTACCGCTACTTCGTGGAGCTCTGGATCTACCTGGGGCTGGCCTGGCTGTCCCTGTTTGTCAACTGGAAGGTGAGCATGTTCGTGGAAGTCCACAAAGCCATTAAGAAGCGGCGGCGGCGGCGGAAGGAGTCCTTCGAGAGCTCCCCACACTCCAAGAAGGCCCTACAGGTGGCAGGGGGTGCAGTCTCCAAGGACGTCAACATCTTCAGCTTTCTGTCCAAAAAGGAAGAGACCTATAATGACCTCATCAAGCAGATTGGGAAGAAGGCGATGAAGACGAGTGGGGGTGGGGAGAGGGTCCCGGGGCCAGGGCCGGGGCTGGGGCTCGAAGGCGGTGGGTTGCCAGCCCTCCCCACTTCCCTGGCACCCCTGGTGGTCTACTCCAAGAACCGGGTGCCCAGCTTGGAAGAGGTGTCACAGACACTGAGAAGCAAAGGCCACGTGTCGAGGTCCCCTGGGGACGAGGCCAAAGCACAGGCCTCTGAGGATGGCTCTCCGCCCCCTGAGGCGCTCATGAACCAGTTGGACCGCATCAGTGAGGAGGGTGAGCCCTGGGACGCCAAGGACTACCACCCGCTCATCTTCCAGAATGCCAGCATCACCTTTGTGAACGAGGAGGCCTGCCTCTCAGATGAGGAGACCTCCAAGTCCTCACTGGAGGACAACCTGGCAGGGGAGGAGCAGCCCCAGGAGGGTGCTGAGCCCGAGGCACCCCTGAACATGGGTGAGTTCCCCTCCTCGGACGAGTCCACCTTCACCAGCACCGAGTCCGAGCTCTCCGTGCCTTATGAACAGCTGATGGACGAGTACAACAAGGCCAGCAGCCTGAAAGGCACGTGAGGCGGGCCGGCCCCCCACTCCACCTCCGAAGACTTACTCCCTTCACCTTGGGGTGGGGACAGCCCTGGAACTGGGAGTGGGGGGCCTGGGGCCCTTCCTTACTTTCCACCCCCTCTAGCTGGATGCTCCCCATCAATTGTGCATGCCCGGGGATGGGGCCTCTGTTCTGCATCTGAACAGTGCCCTGGCAGTGGGGTGCACCCGGCCTGAGCTTGGCTGTGTATTTGACAATTCAAAGATAGGAGCACAGGACTGACCCTCAGGAGGCCTGTGCCTGCGTGGGTCTTTGGCCGTCATTGGGTTCAATGTCACGCGGTTCTCTGAGGCTGGGGTCCCAGCCGTTTGAATTCACCAGTATTCATGAGCAACTTCTGCTTGCCTGGTGCTGAGCTGAACAGTTCTGAGAGGAAGAGAAGGTCATGAGAGACCCTCTGAAGTGTTTGGAGGGGGGTATGGCTGTGATGTGGAGGGCCGAGACACTTCAGTACCTCGGCAGGAGAAGCCCTGCTCCCCACCCACTGTGGGTGCACCGGCCAGGCCTCTACTGCAAAGCTCAGTAGCATCGAGGCTGCTGGGGGAGAGGGGCGAAGATGGCAGGCTGTCGCCGAAACAGTCCCGTCTCACAGGACCTGGAACAGGGCCAGTGGGGCCTGGGGCCCAGAGGCCCGGTCGTCCTTGTGGACTTACCCAGGCCTTGCCCAAAGAGCCCTTTTCTGTATCTCAGACTCCCTTTGGCCAAGCAACGGCAGATAGGAGGATTTCTGGCCCCCGGAAGTGGTGGAAGTGAGGGTGACTGGGCATGGGCCACTCGAGGCTGGGGGTCCTGGGGCTGGTAGCCAGGGAGCTGCAGGAGTGAGGCCCAACTCCAGCTGGTTCTGGCCCACCCCTCAAGCTCCTTAAGAAAGTGCACCCCCCTATCTGCACCTGAGGACTCATATACCCCATGTAGGGGTGTCCCAGAACTAGGAACTCACTGCCCCCTCCTATTCCCACCAGCCTCCTTGGGTCTTGCCAGCTAGGCCAGGTAAGGCCAGATTGCCCTTGGCCCACAAATGGGGAGCGGCCAGATGTGAATGAGGCTCCTGTCTCCGGCTCATGCTTGTGTGTGTAAGGGAGGAGGGGAAGGGCTAGAGAACGAGATAATGTGAAACTGTACGTGTTTTCGACGAGGGGTGGGCAGAACTTACTGCTGCCCGAGTTCTTGGGCACTCCAAGATGCTCACCCTCAGGCCGGCCCACTCTGCCCTGAATGTTTTTATGTTTTGTTTGTTTTTTATTTTTATTTTTTAATGAACTGCTGTTTTTATATATCTGGAATCCGTTGTAGGCTTCACAGCCAGCGGTTAAAGCGCAGGGTCCAGGGGGTTGGGATGGTCCAGGGTTCACCCTTCTGCCCCAACTCAGTGGGCCCTTTCTTGGTGGCCTTGGCCAAGGTCACAGTGTCATGAGCCAAGTTCCCATGCAGAGCTGGGGAGAGGACAGACAGGCGGGTGAGGTGAGCAGAGGTGGGGAGGGCATCCCTTGCAGGCCACTGGATGCCAGGCCAGAGGGAGGTAATCACACCCTCAGCCCAACACCCTCCCCGCCAGCCCTCCTGCACTGTCCCCACTGTCCCTCCACTGTTGGGCAGTGATGGCATGTGTCCACAACCCACTCGCCCTCCAGCCGGCTGTAGTCTGCCGGCCCAGCAGGCAATGGGAAGGAGCACCTTGTATTTTTCTGTGAAATGTTTTAATGAGCTAGTCTGTGGTGGCTGTCCTGGAATCGCAAACACTGTATGTACATACTGGCAGTGATGTCAAATGTAATTTATTTTAACATTTTTACAATAAAACATGAAGTGGACAGGCCAGCTTCGTGTGTGCTATGTGGGGGGTAGAATAGATGGGTGGGCTGGTTTGTGGCCTCTGAGCAAGGTGGGGAGGGCCCTGGGAGGATCCACAGTGGGCAAGGAGGGAGTCAGGCCAGGCAGGTGTGAAAAGGTTGGGGGTGGTCTGGAAGACAGGAAAGTGAAGAGGGAGGAGAGGGAGTCCTCTCAGGGAAGGTGAGATGAGGGGCCAGACATTGCAGAAGAGTCCAAAAATCAAGAAGGTGGTTCCATAGTTCCAGGAGAGAGGCAGGGGAGATGGTGGTGAGCTGCAGCGTGTGAGTAGGCTCCCCGCACCTTGCAGCAGCCCCGTGAGGTGGGTATTGCATTCCTGTTACGTAAGATGCACAGTGAAGGCAGTTTGTCTTGTGCAGAATCTCCGTAAAAATGGTGAGCAGAGATCCAGACCCAGGCAGCCCAGCCCCTGAGCGTTCCCTCGGGCACCATGATGAGAAGGAAAGGATGACACACCTGGGGTCTTTGGAAAGGGCGTCTGTTTCCAGTTAGGATTAGAGAACTCTGGAGGAGTCCAGGCCTTGTGGCTCAGGGACTGTGCAGGAGGCATATGAGTCCAGGTAGGCGCACCACGACTGAAGAGTGTGAAATGAGGCTTGGTCAGGCTTAGTGACAATTTGAGGGCCCTTTACTCAACACAACCCAAGACGATTATTGAACTCATTGGAAAAAAGTTAAAAGTTCTGTGATTTTAGGAATGGACCACATTATAAGGGCATGAATGAGTTTAAAAAGGATCATATGTATTGGCCAATTAAATCTGTAACTACTTTTAAATTCTTATGTATTCATTGTGCCAAAGAGCAGGTGTTTGTGCAGGGAAGCACCTCTCAGTGGGATCTGGCCATGCCACAATTCTTTTTCTCCAATTCTCCACTCTTTTTTTTTTTTGGAGAGGTTTTTGCTATAGGACGTGTGCACTCACCAGAAAGACAGAGAGAGACAGAGAGACAGAAAGTGAGAAATCACCCCCCGGGGGGATGGCCATGCCACAATCCCTTCTCCTCCATTCTCCTCTCGGGATCTTGGGCACGCACACACACGCACCTGGCATGAGTTTAAGCCACTGGGTCCGGGACTCGAACTGCGGTTGATTACATGGGAGTCCAGCGACATAGCCATTATGCTAACTGCTGGTCCCTCCAATTCCCCACTCTTGAGATGCCAGGCATGCACATGTGCCCATCAATAAGCTGCTGGGACTGGGACTCAAGCCTTGGTAAACCGCGTGGGATCTGGATTGATCTGTGCCGTGGGGTCAGCCCCCTATAACTATTTGATGCCGTCCTTCCCCATCCTCTTTCTTTCACGCAAATACACCCTCTTTAATTACTTGATATCGTCCCCTTCTTTCACACACACACCCATCCAGGTTTCTCTGGTTTGCTTTAGCCCCCATCAGCATCCAGGTGACAGTTCCACAACACCACCTTTATTTACCACTTGGCCACTTTACAAAGCCCTTGGGCAAACATGGTTCAGAGCACCCCACCACCCAGGTTATTCACCCAGCTGCTGTGGAGATGAGGGCTCAGGCAGCATGACTCTGGGCACGTGATTGAACGGAGCACAGCTTTGCAGAACTGCTCATGGATGGTGAGGCACAAATGGACTAGGGTGGAGGTCAGGTCTCAGGCCACCAGGGCCAAGGCTAGTGGGGAGCTTTCTGAGTTCAGGGTGGATGGTGCAGGGGGAGGTAGTACAATAGCTGGAGCAAAGGGTGGGCCCAGGAAAGGGGGGTAGTGTCATGAGCAGAGGAGGGGTGCAACGTGGTGAGCTGGATGGAAGATGGAGGAGGTGGGTGCACAGGAGAGCTAGACAAATGCTTTGGAAGTTGCTTGAGCTGACCCTGACAGGGAAACGCCCCCGTTGATGTCACAGATTTATTTCCAGGTCAGAATTGAAGAAGAGAGACCTACTGCCTCGCTGGGGTTCCCACAGAGGTCCTGAGGTGGCGCTCCTACTCCATGGGCCCATTCCCACCACAGGACACTCCAGTCATTTGTCCATTTGAAGCTTATTGAACACTGGTACTTTGTACGAGGCTCTGCTCTGGCACTTGGAAAGCAGCTGGGTATCAGCGGACAAGAATCCCTGCATGTGTGGGGTGTGTGGTCTCTCAGTGCTCATGCTCTCGTTTCTGGCCATTTTTTGTGGTCTGTGCTTGGGTTACATCCTGCCCATATCCCTCAAGATTCTTTTAATGTTTTTCTAAACCTCACAATATGTGTAGAAGAATGGAGTGGGTGACATCTCACTCCCTGACCCCAAAATATACTATAAAGCTGTGATAATCAAACAGCATGATATTAGCACAAAAACAGACAGGTGGACCAAAGGAATAGAATAGAGACCCCAGAAATAACCCCCAAAACATACAGCCAACTGATTTTTGACAAAGGATACCAGTCAATTCAGTTGAAAAAGGAAAACCTCTTTAGCAAATGGTGCTGGGAAAACTGGGTATGCACCTACTGAAGGATGAAACTGGATCCCCATCTTTCACCTTTAACAAAAATCAATTCAAAATAGATCAAAGAGCTGAACCTAAGACCTCAAACTATAAAATTACTGGTCGAAAACACTGGGGAAACTCTAGGAGACATTGGGATAGGTAAAGACTTCTTAGGCAATAATCCCCAAAATAGGCAAGTGGGATTACATCAGATTAGGAAGTTTTTGCACAGTAAAGAACACAGTAATTAGTGTGAATTGAAAACCCTCAGAATGGGAGAATATTTTTGTAAACTATGCCTCAGATAAGGGACAGATAACCAGAATATACAGGGAACTCAAGCAGCTTACCACCCCCCCAAGAAAAAAATATTAACCCAATTAAAAGAAGGGAAAATGAGCTGAACAAAAAACTAAGGAAGACATATGAACAGCCAAAAAGCACATGACGAAATGCTCAACATCCCTCTTCATAAGGGAGATGCAGATTAAAACCACAACAAGATACCACCTAACCCCTGTCAGAATGGCAAAGATTAAAAATACAAAAAATGAGAAGTGTTGGCGGGGTTGTGGTAAAAGGGGAACTCTCCTACATTGTTGGTGGGAATGTAAATTGGTCCTTCCACTGTGGAAAACAATATGGAGATTCCTCAAAGACCTACAAATAGAACTACCATATGATCCACCAATCCCACTTCTGGGTGTTTACCTGAAAGACAGGAGAATGCTCAGTCAGAAAAGTGCTTGCACATCAATGTTTATTGCAGCATTATTCACAATATTCACAATTACTTAGATGTGTAACCAACCCAAATGTCCATGAACAGATGAACGAAATGAAAAATTGTGGCACATATACTCTATGGAATACTATTCAGCCATAAAAAACAAGACCCTAGCATTTGATAGAAAGTGGTTCAATGTGGAAAATGTATTGCTGATTGAAGCAAGCCAGGATATGAAAGAAACATTGTATGTCTCCATGTATACCAACTGTCTGCACTCTATGGTAAAGATGGAAAGATTGGAGGGCATCAAAGCAGTGAAAATAGTTATGGACACTGGAGACAGTGTGGAAGGAGGGTAGGAGAGGGGAAGAGTGTAGGGATGGAAATCAGGGAGAAAAAATAGAGGCAATTTGTGGGACACACCAGTGGTTTGCCTGTTGATAACATGCGTAGTATTCTCAACTGAACTGGTCTGAGATGTATTTCATATTGGATAAATTGTTTTTACAAGTCAAATGATGTATAGCGACCAAATGTTTAAAAACAATAATTAAAAAATGGAATTTGGGAACCAGCAGTTAGTGTAATGGCTATGTCCCTGGACTCCCAGATAGTCGACTGCAGTTCGCGTCCCGGACCCGGTGGCTTAAACTCACGCCGGGCACGTGTGCGTGCGTGCCCAAGATCCCGAGAGGAGAATGGAGGAGAAGGGATTGTGGCGTGACCATCCCCCCTGGGGGGTGATTTCTCACTTTCTGTCTCTCTGTCTCTCTCTGTCTGTCTGGCGAGTGCACGCGCCCTATAGCGAAAACCTCTCAAAAAAAATGGAATTTAAAAAATTAAAATAAAAAAAAACTCACGTGTACTATTATCAACCTCATTTTACAAATGAAATGGATTGTTTCCACATTAAAATAACTATTAACTGGCAGTGGCGACAAAACAGCTTTCCTGACTTGCATTTCCTTTCCTTGGTTTAGGAAGTCTGTCAGTTCCTAATCTGGTGGGAAGACGCCCCTAGAGAACCCGAAGTCTGGTGGAGGTAGGAGACAACTCGGTGGGAGAGGAGCATAGAAACAAAAACAAGTACAAACTAGTGTCCCCACTGGGCCTGATTCCCCAAGCCATGCCAAAACACTCACTGAGTTCCGTGCCAGGACTGGTGGAGAAAAACCAGGATATCTGGGTTTCACCCCTTGACTGGAAAGGGCCAGTCAAGCTTATCATCAGCGCGATTGCATCTGAAGTTTTCTTGCCTGGGGCAGAGAGATAGAGAAGGAGCAGCAGGCTGGTCTGCACCTCGGATATGGCTGCCTGGCCTTGGGGCCCCTGTGGTCAGGCCTCAGCTCTGACCACCAGCTGGCTCCTCTCTCTCTCTCTCTCTCTTTTTTTTTTTTAAGAATTTTTGCCCCAGGGTGCGATTTGTTGTTGTTGTTGTTATATGGCATGTGCCAGAGAGGCAGAAAGTGAGAAATCACCCCTCAGAGGGGATGGCCATGCCACAATACTTTCTCCATTCTCCTGTTGGGATTTTGGGCAACCAAGCACACACATGTGCCCAGGGTGAGTTTTAAGCCACTGGGTCTGGGATGCAAACCATGGTCTACTACATGGGAGTCCAGTGACACAACCATTACACCATCTGCTGGTGTCAGCTAACTACTCTTGAGTTAACAGGTTCCCAGTTTTGAAATTTGTGCACAACCAGCCCAGGACCTGGATGCCAGTATGTGAGTTTCCAGCATGTTTTGTAACACAGTGAAAGTTCCTCCCTAACACTCTGCC